TGCAATTAAATGCTAAACACCAAGACAAGACTGCCAAACCACATATTAAGTTAGGAGAATTCTGAGAAGTACAGGTTTTTTTAGCCTACATCAGCATAAAACATATACACCACTAAGGATATTGGATTTTAACCAAGTCACTTGAACTATCCCTTTAATATGTGCAGTAGCCCTGGTAGCAGGTATGTTGGTTACTTCAGGTTTGTAATGATTCCACTCTGTGATGGGATTAGTCCTTTGCAACCATGGAGGAAGTGGATCTGAGAAAGGGCTGTGGGTGGGGACATGCATGCTGGCCCTGCCCACTTCACCTATAACCACCCCATAAAGTTTATTTATTTTTATACATTTATTTGAATTATATCTAGCTAGGGGTATAGCTAGAGGCAAAGTTAAGATAAGTTACAGTGCTGAAACACACTTAAAGAAGACATTGTGTCAAAGCATTATGAGCTAAAAAAAGAAAATCCAAAAGAATTGCACCAATCCATTAAAACCTTTTTTTTTTCAGTCAGTCAGTCAGTTGCCTAAAGCCTGCCTAAACACAAATGTCTTTTTGCCAGCAGCAGGACATCAAAGAGGGGGCCAACCTACCCTTCCTTAACAGGGAGTTTTAAAGTATGGAAGCTGCCAGATATAAAGAGGAATCATCTCTGTGTTTGGCTGTAAGTACTCACAGTCCCCGCCAAAAACAGGAACCCTCTTCAGACAGGGCTCACAATGGTAGGAGGGATGGCATATAGCCAGGCATGCTGACAATCCTTCTTCAGACCATGCTGATCTATGGGGAAAGACTTGGGGTAGGGAGAAAGGCCAGTGCACAAGCCCTTACAATTCTACCACAGATGGACTTTCAGTATGTCTGAATAAGTCTAAAGCTTTTTTTGCCTCTCAGAGCATTTGTATGCAAAAAAGCAAAAAGTCAACTAAATTGAACTGGCACTTTCAGGAACATACTCGTGCATCCAGAGATGCTAATCTTCTAACAACTTCTACAAGAGGTGCAATCTCCTGACCTCCGCTAACTGAGTGTTGATGCTACCAAGAGGAAGGACAGTCTGACAGTGCTATGATACACTGAGCAAGAGCAACATCTAATTTAATTCTTACCTTTCCCAGTGTTTGTGGTTCAACTCCAAAAAGTCATCTAATTTTGCTATTTCCTTGAGATACTGAGTAAGTTTTAAAAGTTCCTTATCTTTATCTCTGTTTAAATGTGCTTTCATGAAGGGCTTTATCTGTTGAGAAAGACACCAGGAATAAACGTTGTATTTAAAAGAGAGACTACAAATGTTAACATGTTAGCATTCACTGAATATGAAATACTTTAACCTTTTCAGTTCAGCAACCTGATCCCGTGCTACCAGCCCTTTGCTATGTCCATGCAGTCTTCATTCCTCCTTTCCAACAGAAGTCTGAACTGACCTCTAATATTAACTAGGGATTCTGTGCAAATGGATGTTACCCTTCCACTGTCTATTACCCAGATCCATTTCACAGCTCAAAGGATCAAGCTGCTGGAGCATGCACACAGAATGTTTTTACAAATGACCTAATGCTAAAATTGAACCAGCAAAAGCTCTGTTTTCTTTGAAAAGTTTATCCTTTCTTGCACATATCATGATCTGCTCAGTACACTGGCAACCTATATGTTGTAAGCCTGCACTGCTGCCTCTTTGTATTTGAAAAAAATACCCCCACTTCTGCCTAAGAAACAGAAAGGCAATTCTTTGTGTACTATTATTACCAATTGTCACTTGAATACAAACTAATCCTAGAAGCAAAGCAATCCATTTTGACAGCTGGCATTCTACTCCAGCTTCTCTTTGGAACAGATGCATCAGTATGATCTCAGATCGAAAAAAGTATGAGGATGATAATTCCTTATTCTACTTCTCCTCTTACCCCTTTTCACCCCACTTGTGCCAGCATCTTCTTTCTCTTTCCTCAGCATCCCAATTTTTCATGCTGCACTTCCCATCCTCATTCTCCCAGAAGACAGGACCACATTCATTAGCACTGCACTTATTCTGCCAAAAAGGGCTGGCTACTTATTCTCTGCCAGGAAGAGAGCACCAGGGAACAGGCTCTAGAACACAGCCCCGTATCTTAGAAGCTAGACAAAATTATCAGATTTTTTTTCATGTGCTTAGCCTTAGTGACAGGTAAACCACCCAGCCTAAGACTTTAGCCACCTTGAACCCCATTTTGGGAGAAAGGCAGGATATAAATCCAATAAATAAATCTAGGGTTAGCTAGTGTCTATTATGGCTGCAGTGGTTTGCATTAGCCCATGGGGCAGAGGTCTAACGCAGCCCTGCCACTTCAGGCCCTTTTGAATGAAAAAGGAATTAGAGCCCTTTCAATTCAAAGTATGTGCTCTGCTGCAATAACAGTGTTGTAGGCTCTGGTTTGCTCCCAGACCCTGTTAATATCATCTTTTTCATCCAAGAGGAAATAAGAGCATTCTTTGCAACACACTAAATCCAATGGGGATCCCACTGTCATGATTTTTGTTGCAGCAGTCTCCAGTGGTGACTTGTGTCCTTCTGAAAGGCTTATAAAACCCATCCCAAGAGCTACATGTCACATTTATCAAAGGGTTGTGGACAATAACTTCATCCTGTATAGAATGGCTGATTAAATTCTGTTGCCTCTGGTAGGGCATCTGATCTCAATTCTTTCTACAGCAACATTTCTCATAGACAGTCATCTCCAATTTGTCTGGTTGTCAATAGAATTTGAGCTTCAGCAGTACACAAGCTGTTTTCCCAAAAGGAGGCAACCAAATCAGTCTGCCAGCGTTGTGCTACATCAATCCTCCATCCAGCAGTTGAGCAGCACTTTTGAAGCAATTTTCACTCATCTGTCAGCCATTTCTCAAAATTAGAGAGACTTTACAGAAGGCAATGCTGGCATCATAAGAGCCTGCTGTCTTTTCCAGGACAAGCACTTTCTAAAACCACTGACATGTTTGGGTATTAAGGGATGATGAGAAATGTATTAACATGTAACTGTGTTGACAACCATTTCAGAGTTGGTATATGCTGTACCTTAAGTTCATTCTGACTAAATTTCTCCCCAACCCAAAATATGTCTGACATAAAACTCCTTCAGGTTCCTTCAGAAGCCTCCAACACTGACTTCTGACAGTGAAAGCATGGAAAAACATACCACTTTTTAACTGGTCAGATGTCACAAACAGAAAACTGCCATTAGAAACACAATGGCCTTCGTTCCACTAAACAAGAGAGTGGTTAAGGGTACAATCACTCAAGGACTTACTTCTGTGCAGATATGTATAAGACTGTGTTGCAAAACACAGGGATGTAAGCAGAAGGCTCCTGATTCAATGTCTACCTCAGCTATCAACTCATCAGACAGCTTTAGACAAGTGTTTATGCAAATTCCAAATCTCTGTTTGCAGTATACCTACTAGCTGACTATAGTCTAATCACGTGAATGACACAGGGACCATCACACACTGGCAACAGCATTTTTCAAATTTCAACCCCTTATTTAAATAGTTGCCATCTCCCCAAAAAACACTTTAAAAATTTTACCTTTAGTCCATTTTGTGGGTTCATCAGAAAATTTCGTCCAATGTCATCAAACATAATAGTATTTTTCTTGCTGTAAAACTCTGAAAATTTGCCCCATATGACCCCTAGAGGTTTCACCTACAAAACCAAAGCAGGAAAAATCCCAAATTAAAACAGCATTCTAGAAACAGAATCAATAATTCGTATAAGGGTGAGCAACTTCCATAGATCTGGGGGCCATCTCCACACCTCAATGACCTGGGTTCTGTAACCCCACACCATCCTGACACACTTCTACCTTTTTTTTAAACTAAAAAAGACCTTTTGCACCCTCTAGATGAGGTTTTATTTTGCCCCTTACTTGAGCTCTTGTAAGCCTGGGAAAGACTATTTTTGAAAACTGTAAGGGACATTATTGGTCATTTAGGAAACATGAGAAAAATATTTTGCAAAAATAAATAAATAAATAAAATTGGGGGGTCGGGTACAAAAAGTCTTGGAGGCCACATCTGGCTCACACACCTCTCTTTGCTGAACCAAATCTATTTTCTGATTTTACTGTTCAAAGTTCTTTACTATCCTTCTTATCCAGGACTTGAAATATCCTAGTAAGTTCAACACCATGGTTGCAAATATATAGACTTAGCAGGGAGTATGCTCCACTTTATGCAATGGGCCTTACCTCTCAGGTCCAAAACACACTACATAAATAATCTTGAGATCACTTTAACTGCCCTGACTCAATGCTAGGGAATCCTGGGAATTGTAGTTTGTTGTGGCACCAGAGCTCTCTCATAGAGAAGGCTATAGCTCACAAAACTACAGTTCCCAGAATTATCTAGCACTGTTAAAGTGCAGTTAAAGTGATCTCAAACTGGATTGTGCAGTGTGTTTAGGACAGGGGTAGGCAACCTTTCCCCTTTAAGGGCCGAGGGACTTCAGCTCCCAGAATCCCAGGAGCTATTGGTCAACATGGGACTATTGGCCAACATGGCTGAGGCTTCTGGGAGCTGAAGTCCCTCAGCCCTTAAAGGGGAAAGGTTGCCTACCCCTGGTTTAGGACCTCAGTTAAGTATAGGGCTGCACAAGAACATTCAATTTTACAAATAAGAACTGCTGGCTAAAACAACCACTTGGCAAGACATCACCTGAATAGATCTATGAAGGAGCTGAGGAAAATCCACGTCTCCCATTTCTTTTGGGAGATGTTTGCTTCATGTAGCAACTTTAGTTTCTTTTCATAATTAATTTACATTATCAAATTAGATAAAATTATTAATTTTATTTATTACAGAAAAGTACAATAGATTAAAGCAGTTGTGTGCCTTTAAGTCATTCCTTACTTATGGAGACCCGATGTCAAACTATCATTGTTTTTTCTTGGCAAGATTTGTTCAGAGGAAGTTTGTCTTTTGAAGCTGAGTGTGTGACTTGCCCTGGTAACCCAGTGGGTTCCACTGGCTGAGCATGGGCTTGAACCCTGGACTTCAGAGTCGCAGTCCAATGTTCAAACTACTACACCATACTGGCTCGCATTTTTTCTTGAAATTTCAGTTCATTTACTGAAAGAAAACAAACAAATAAATTAAACTAGTGTTCTTCTGAAGAGCCAGCATGGTGCACTGGTCTTAGCGTTGGACTATGACTCTGGAGGCCAGGGTTCAAATTTCCACTCAGCCATGGAAACTCACTGGGAGAATCACAAACTTTCAGCCCCAGAAAATCCCATGAAATGTTCACCTTAAGGTTGCTATAGGTCAGAAACGACTTGAAGGCACACAACAATGATGACGACAACAACAACAACATATTATTATTATTCTACCTCAGTGTTTCATAATAGAGTAAATTTTGTAAGAGTAAACTATATTTTTAACATGAGATTCCCCCCTCAGCTATGAAACCTACTGAATGACCTTGGGCAAGTAGCACACTTTCAGCCTCAGGGGAAGGCAATGACAAACCCCATCTGAACAAATCTTGCCAAGTAAAACCCCATGATAGGTTCGTCTTAGGGTCGCTGTGGCACCTTTAACGTATATGATATTGTGAATTACCCTTTTGCACAAAATGTAAAAGATGAGTGGTTTCTGATGCAAAACAAGACAGTTAAATGGCCATTTAGTAACCTCAGCTAAATGGCCATTTTGTCACTAATTCTACGTTCTAAATTAATGTTATTACTTGTACAAATAAAAAAGGCAATCATAGTTGTTTGTGGGTTTTTCGGGCTGTGTGGCCATGTTCTAGAAGAGTTTCTTTCTGACGTTTCACCAGCATCTGTGGCTGGCATCTTCAGAGAAGATTCTCTGAAGATGCCAGCCACAGATGCTAACTCTTCTAGAACATTGGTCACACAGCCTGAAAAAAACACAAAAAAACTAAGGATGCTGGCCATGAAAGCCTTCGACTTCACAAAAAAAGGCAATCCTTTCTAGGGGAAAAATGTTCATACATCAATTAATCCTCTTCTTGGAGTGTGCACAGTTATCATGGCAGCACTATCCAACATGAAGGTGATCTTGTAGTTTGCACTGGTGCTCACTCCCAGCTCCTGTATTGCACATGAATTAAAATTAAAATAGGTTAATGACATTTTAGACTGGCTATTTGACTGCTGCATTTCCCAAATGTTGTACATTTCACTTGACAAGGGAGAGCTGTAAAGAATTAAATGAAGGCATGCTAAAAATATGTCTGCTCCACTCTCCAACAAGATTTATTATGATGAGGTGGAAGTAGCATTCCAAATTAATATGAGTCAATGCAATCTGCAAGCATAAGAACAATTGGTTTATGGAGCAGATAGATGGGTTTGGATCTGTTTCACCCTTTGGAGGTCATGTTGTTCATCTAGTAAGAAAATCATAGAGGCAAACTGTGATATTGTTAAATTCTCTATTTTTGCTAAGCCATTCCACTCTAAAGAAGGTACTTCCATTTTTATTTTTATTTACCAGTTCACTTCACATTACAATCACAAGTTCAGCAAAAAAAAAAAAAAAAAATCAAATAGTACCACAATATCATGGTGGCTTTCAAAAAAAAGGGGGGTTTAAATTTTGATTTCTAAGTGCTCTGTATCTACATTAGTATATAGCAAAGGACAGTGATAAATAATTCGGCATAATGCAGCTTTCTATGTCCTTTGCTGGAAAGCAAGTTTTCATACATTTCACTTGTTATGAAGAAAAATATTACAGAAGCCAGTTTCCAGCATGGGGGAGATATACACACAAACATTCCTAGCCTCTCTTGTGAAAGTGAACTAAGTGGTTAAATTACATACAATGAAAATCAATCATTTTCAGTGGTGGTATCATCATCTGAAATCCTCAATCTGAAGTCAGCCCAGAGTCACATTTTTGGCCTGCCATATAATGGACACTAAGATAAGTATGCAGTGAGACAGTCTGCAGAAACAGAAGGTTTACATAGCTTCCAGGGGCCTGTCATATGTGGCAGGCTGGGCTATGATTCTCTTGGAATGCCACAAGGAGTGGCAGGCCTGACAGAAAAGAAACTGATTTTGATTCCACTTAATTATGGTCTAAATCAGGGGTAGGCAATATTTCCCCTTTAAGGGCCGAGGGACTTCAGCT